TTCTAAATGGATGGATATCGAGATTTGGAGTACCTACTCAAATTGTCACTGACCAAGGATGTCAATTTGAATCTTCATTGCTTAATGAGCTTTCCAAACTATTAGGTATCAATGTGACGCATACTACCCTATCACCCACAGGCTAATGGATAAGTTGAACGTTGGCATCGAACTCTAAAGTCTGCAATTAAGTGCCAATCAAACCCTCGTTGGTCAGATGTTTTGCCAATAATTATGTCTTCCATTAACCATGATCTAAACGTTTCTCCCGCTGTTAAGGAACTTACATTACCAGGTGAACTTTTAATTGATTTCAAAATAAAGAACATTAACAATGAATGGGTTAAACAACTTAAAGAAGACATGGATAATATTAAAGCCAAAAAAGTTGCAAGACATGGCCAAGCCCAAGTATACGTATCGAAAGAGTTACAACAATCAGATTTCGTGTTTATTCGAGATGATGCAGTTCGTCCATCTCTCCAACCTCCTTATAAAGGACCATTCCACGTTATATCAAAAACCGAAAAAACATTTGTGGTTGATGCTAATGGTAAACATAAGACAATATCTGTAGATCGATTGAAACCCGCTGTTATTTTAAAAAATGAGGAGGAAAAAGAATAACAACATCGAGAATGGTGATACTTGAAGTATTAACACTTTGAAATTTTGTTTTAAAAATAATTAAGTTTTCAGTTCTTTTATTTTACATTTTTGTTTTCTGTATTTTTGATTTTTTGAAAAATAAATTTATTGGATTTAAACTTTTGAAATAAACACGTGTTGTTGTGTATACAGGTTCCCTCCCGAAAATCACTTAAACGCACATAACTCATTACCAAATATTGATATCCATACATTTAGCACAAATATTGCTCTTATATACATAAATTATAGGTACAGAATTTTTAAATTTTGTCTTTATATACATAATTGCTTATAGCTCACATACAAGGTCCTTTTACGAAAATCTCTTAAATGCACATTACCCATTACCAAATAAAGCTATTGATACAAAATTTGCCACAATTATTAGTTTTGTATACAACAATTATATTTCAAGATTTTTTCACGATCGGTTCATAACCTGGGTGCGGTCGGTCCCATTCAAGGTTGTCTTCAGAAAATCACTTAAACACACATTACTTATTACTAAATTACTATATAGATACAAAATTTGACTGAAATATAGCTTTTATGTACAGAAATTTTGCTTAAAGAATTTTTTACGATCGGTCTATAATTGGTCATATCTCCCATACTAAATCCTGCCCCTAAAAGCACTTTAACCGTATTTAACTAGTTGCATTATCAATTTGTGTGGAACAAAATTATATATGTATATGTATTTTGAAAATCCTTAAATCTTTCACACATATGCATACATGCAAATTATTAAATATCGCATAAAAAAATATAAAAGAAAATGGCGTTTGTAATGTTCAATAAATCTTGGAATTCTAACATATTTAAGCTGTTTAAATCTTGGGGTTTTTCTATTTAAGACATGAGAAAACTTATTTCGACAAATATTTGATCAATTAAAAAAGTATTAATATAAAAGTAGCTGATGGAGGGTATTTAAGATTCGGCTCAGCCGAATATAGCACTCTAACTTGTTCATTCATTATTTTGTAAGTTTTTGGAATATTAGTACATATATATAGTTAATCACAAAAATATGTATACAGAAATACTCACAATTGGTTTTATTTAAAAAAGGATATTATTTTTTCAAAAAACAAAAAAGTAACACATTTATTTATAAAAAACAATTATAATAATTATTATTCACTACCTTTTTTCTGGATATTTTTGTTATTTGAGTTCTCATTTAAGGTGAAGTTAAATAAAAGCAAAATTTACGTAACAAAAGTAAGTACACAGATCATTTCAATATATATTTTTATATTAAATCAGGCTCAGTTAGTGGTATTCATACGAATTGAACAATTTTGAACAAGGATACGTTTTAATTTGTTGCTAGAACAAATAAAATGCCCGATCCATAATAGATGTATATTCTGTTCATGAGTACTGTTTTCCTCCTATTATTTATTTTAAAAAGCTAAATAAATATTCATGATATTATTAATATTCATAAACTTTGAAACAAAACAGTTCAAATCACATCAAAGAATTCCGAAATTGAAACTGAAAACTATTATGTATTATTTTTTTATTTTGTGATATAAATACATATGTACATTGTACATACATACATATATGCTTGAAGGTTGAAAAGGAATCCTCACTAAAGATATGTAGGAGGTGGAAAACAAAAAATTTAATGTGTATAATTACTCATCTATCTCTTTATAAGTGATTCGATAAAAAATTTAGTTTTTCTCTTTTTGCTTCTTTAGATTATTTGATAAAGGACATTTTTGAGGTAGGCATATCCTTGGTCTGAATTGAACGAGGTTGTATTAAGCATATCAAAACTAAAGTCTGTACAAAATTTCATTAGAATATGAGTTTTTTTCTCCCAGTTATGGCATTATCTAATTTCAGGGCCCAAATTATGGCATACGATATCGATCGAAATCTCCATATAGTTTCTATTGAGATTTCGATCGATATCGGATGCCATAATTTCGGCCCAGGCTATATGGGAAAGACACGAATTCTTGAAGATTTATTGACCAAATTTAGAATTTTCTTTTATTTCGTGAATTAATTACTCATATATATCTTTACAATTGATTCGATAAGAAAATGTTATTTTTTTTTTCTTTTTTAGATTATTTGAAAAAAGAAAATTTTTGAGGTATTCAAGATTTTTGCACCCTACGAAGCTACAGGACCGGATGATATTTTCCCGACACTTTTGCAGATTGAAATTCGCATATACCCCAATTAAATGGCAGATGCAAGCGTAATATTTACACCCAAAACCTATATAAGGTCCCTTAAAATACGAGTATAGCGATGAAATTTGACATATGTAAGGATTTACGAGTCGAAACCTCTCTACCAAATTTTATGTAGATCGGTCCATATATTACCCTACCACCCATATAAGGTCCCCCTCAGAAAAATTACTTTAACTCTCATTAAAAGTATGAGTGTAGCGATGAAATTCGACACACATAGGTTTTATACGAGTCAAAATCTCTCTACCAAATTTATTGAAGATCGGTCTTCAGAAAATTACTTTAACGATCATTTCTGGGTTAAATTCATGTACAGTTATGAAATTTTATATAAGAAATTTTTATAGGAACTTAGATCTTCCTACCGAATTTCATGCGGAAAGTGTCGGTATCTTACCCTACCCGCCCATATAAGCCTGCCTGCAAAAAAAAATACTGACACAAAAATGCGAGTACAGCGATGATATTCTATGTAAACATGTTTATAAGAACCAAAATCGGTCTAAAAAATTTTATGAAAAAAGGTCAGTTAATTTGATGAGTGATCATAATGTTTATAGGGGAGCATTCCTTTTATGCCATACGGTATATAACACTTCCACTTGTTGTTTGTGTGTTTTGATGGTAGCCATAGTAAGCAAAGTTTTTCCCGGGTGATACGCTTATTCAATCCTTAGATGTTTTATGTTAACCAGGTGCTCCGTAACTGAACCCTAACAGAGAAAGGACTTAGATCTGACTGCTATATAGACAATGTCGTGCTGGGCGTTATGTAGGAAGACCATATACACGAATTGGAGCCTTAGTCTTAGTATGGCACATTGGCTTTGTAAAAGGGTGATTAGACCAATTCATATGCTTCAAAAATCTGCTTGACTCTTTGGACAAAACATTCAAAGCTAATTTTTCTCAAAATAACTTTTGTAGTAAATGAGCGATATAATATGTTTTGTTGATTGCAGCTTATCAACATACATTAGAGTAGATTGAAGGGGCACAAAGCACTGCGACCTAAATAGTTGTGGATCTTTTGAGCATCCCGTGGGTTCACCATAATAGTTTCTGTTCATGGTTTAGTTAGTGAGAGATTGAAGATGTATTTTAGGGTTAGTAAGACAACAACCAAAACATCAGATCTGCGAGACCTAGAATATGTTCTTAAGTTCCCTCATGTAGGACACAGAATTTGCAAATATTCCTTATAAAGTTGCCTAGAGTACTAACGGGGTCGCTTACTGGATCACAATGTCCAGTAAGTGATCCCGTTAGTACTCTCAGATCACTTTTATTGAGCGCTAGAAGCATTTGGGAATTTTTCCTTTGACAGTGTTATAAAACGCTTTGCCTTTCTGAGACCTGGTATTGCTTTTCAGTGGCGAACAAGACCGCAATGTCCAGTAAGTGATCTCCTTAGTACTCTCAGATCACTTTTATTGAGCGCTAGTAGCTTTTGGGATTTTTCCTTTGACAGTGTTATAAAACGCTTTGCCTTTCTGAGCCCTAGTATTGTTTTCCAGTGGCGAACAAATTTAGATTTCATCCAAGAGTCACATTTAGCTCTGGCGTATCCTTGGGGAAAACCAAAGAAGAGTTCAGGGCAAATTAATTGGAGACTTCCAGGTAACCAACACAAAGCCACTTTGTTGTATTTACCTAATTCATTAAGTGAAGTTAAGCAGTTCATTACAACACCCGACCTAAGTTCGTATGACAATAAGGCCTTGAGTGATGTTTAGCTATTCGACATTATAAATATTCTTAATCCCTTGGTTCCTCTCCTACAATATTATCAAAAAGCCAAATAAAATTCAGATTCAAAATCTAACTCAATGGGATAGTATTTGAAATCTAAAAATTTAAAATATCTTCCAATAGAAATAAAAATTATTTATAAAAATATATTAACGAAAAAATGCATAGAAATGGTAACAATCTTTATAAGCGCATTAAAAAAGAAAGAAAAATAGTCTTCCTACCACCCATACAATAATTGTATCATTAAATCATAGAAGAGTTGTTATTCGGTTTAACCAACTTTTCGTTTTTACGAATGGACCTGATATTATATCTTTCGTTAAACCGGGAAACCACTGTACATACATATACATATAATATACTTACATCATGCAATTGCTGTGTTTGAGTGCCATCTACGGATACGTGCAAGGGTTTTTTTGATGCTCTTATTGTGGTTTCATCGAAAGAGCGAGCTTCAGCCGACCTGAAAATATTAAAACAATTAATATGGTACAAATAATAATAGTTACATATGTATATAAGTATGTCGCAATTTTTATACCCACCATCAAAAAAGATGGGTTTATATTGTTCTTGTCATACCGTTTGTAACACATTGAAATATTCATCTAAGACCCATAAAAGTATATATATTATGGGTCCTTATTAGACGATCTAGCCATGTCCGTCCGTTTGTCTGTTGAAAACACGACAGAGTAGCTAGCGAGCTGACATTTTGCATAGATACTTCTAGTTGATGCAGTTTGTTTGACATTAAAAATGGGCGATATCGGTCCACAATTTCCCCTAACCCCCATATAAGGCCCCCTTCAGAAAATGACTTTAACGCTTATAACTGGCTTAGAGAAGCATCAATTCGGCATAAACATGTTTTATGGGAACATAAATCTCTTTGTAAAATTTTATAAGGATAGGGCAATAATTGACCCTACTCCCCATATAAGGTCCCTTCAGAAAATGACTTTAACGCTTATACTGACTCAAGCTTTGTGCGAACCAAAAGCTCTCTATCAAATTTATAAGGATCGGTGATTAATTGACCCTATCCCCCTTGTAAGGTCCCTTTCAGAAAATGACTTTAACGCTCATTACTAGTCTAAAACTGCGAGTACAGCGATGAAATTCGACATAAACAAGTTTTGTATGAGCCAAAATCTTTCTACTAAATTGTATGAGGATAATTGACCCTACCCCCTATATGGTCCCCTTCAGAAAATGACTTTAATGCTCATTTCTGAATCAAAAATTCGATTATAGAAGTGAAATTGTACATAAACAAGTTTTGTGCTAGCCAAAAACTCGTTATCAAATTTTACGGGGATCGGTCTATAACTGACCCCACCCTACATATAAGGTCCCCCTCAGATAATGACTGTAACGCTGGCTACCGGCTGTAACGCTCAAATACGACTACAGCGATGAACTTTCACATAAACAAGTTTAATATGAGCCCATATACTACGCCCCTTTTAAGGTCCCCATTAGAAAATGACTTTAAAGCTCATTAGTGGCTTAAAAATGAGACATACACAATATTTGTATGAACAAAAATCGTTCTAAATTTTAGAAGTATCAGTCCATAATTGACCCCACCCCAGTATAAGGGCGCCTTTAACGCTCATTACTGGCATTAAAATACGAGTATATATATTAAATTGAACATAAACAAGTTTTATGGGAACTGAAATCATCCTACCGACCGATGGCTTTAACGCTCATCTATGGCTCAAAAGTTCTTCCAAATTACGGTAGTTTTATAGGAACTAAAATTTTGTAACTGAAATTGATGAAGATCTATCTATCTATCTATCTATCTATCTATCTATCTATCTACTATCTATCTATCTATCTATCTATCTATCTATCTATCTATCTATCTATCTATCTATCTATCTATCTATCTATCTATTATCTATCTATCTATCTATCTATCTATCTATCTATCTATCTATCTATCTATCATCTATCTATCTATCTATCTATCTATCTATCTATCTATCTATCTATCTATCTATCTATCTACCTATCTATCTATCTATCTATCTATCTATCTATCTATCTATCTATCTATCTATCTATCTATCTATCTATCTATCTATCTATCTATCTATCTATCTATCTATCTATCTTCTATCTATCTATCTATCTATCCTATCTATCTATCTATCTATCTATCTATCTATCTATCTATCTATCTATCTATCTATCTATCTATCTATCTATCTATCTATCTATCTATCTATCTATCTATCTATCTATCTATCTATCTATCTATCTATCTATCTATCTATCTATCTATCTATCTATCTATCTATCTATCTACTATCTATCTATCTATCTATCTATCTATCTATCTATCTATCTATCTATCTATCTATCTATCTATCTATCTATCTATCTATCTATCTATCTATCTATCTATCTATCTATCTATCTATCTATCTATCTATCTATCTATCTATCTATCTATCTATCTATCTATCTATCTATCTATCTATCTATCTATCTATCTATCTATCTATCTATCTATCTATCTATCTATCTATCTATCTATCTATCTATCGAAATTGATAAAAAATTTCCCGATAGTTGAAATAATTACTATAAATACCGTATATATCTATCGAAATTGATAAAAATGTCTCGATATTTAAAATAATTACTATAAATTAAATATAAATAATCGTATAAATACCGTCAAACATTTACATATATTATATACATGGAAAATAGCTTTGACGATTTAATGACGATTTCGAAAAATCAGTTGACGATTTTTTCCTCGAAATTTGACGATTTTACACCCAAATCATCTGGCAACTATGGCCGTAATATGATTACAAATCATAAAGCGCCTTGGCGACACATCAAATTAGTTGATTCAAACGGTAAATTTTTGATTGGGCTAGTAAAAAAACTTACACCGCATATATACATGTGAGTTTTTTCACTAACACAATTAAAAAAACTTACCTTTTGAGTCAACAAATTGGATGTGTGGCCATGTCGCTTAAGGGCCCTTCACACGGTCACACTTTACGTACGACAAGTCTAATGAAAAAGTAAAATGAAATTCCATCCGTATGACAAAAAAGAGAATAAAAGTCGTATGATTTATATATTATTTGTGTTTACACGATTGGTATAAAACAATAACAAAGGATCATTTCCGAAAATAAATTAAATGCACAAAAAAGTTATCGGGATAAAATTCAACTTGAATATGTTTTGTGTATATTTAAATTAGTAGGTCCATAAGTAGTCATAGCTCTCATATAAGGTTCACTCCTGAAAATCACTTAATACCACATAATTCATTATATGATTATATCCGGATAGAATTCGACATGAGAATATTCTGTGTGTAGATAAATCATTCTGCTAAAATGTTATGCAATTGATCCGTTATAGGTCGTAGCTCCCATATAAGGCCAACGTCCATATCCGAAACCACTTAAAATAATTTTTTTTTTTCGACCTAAACAAAATAAGTTCAATATATGCATAAAGAAATTACTAAATGATACTAGATAGTTAAACGGGTTTTAATAAAATGTAGCGTATTTATGATTCGGCATGGCCGAATGTAGCACTCAAACTTGTTTTTCGTCGGCTGCACATATTTTCTAGAAAAAAGTGCTAGATGCTGTTTAGCACTTTTTCGTCTTTTGCTAGAAATTTTTAGCATTAGAAGTGCATTTTTGGTATTTTTTCTTTTATTTTGCACTTTTTATAATTAAAGAACTTTAAAATTTAATTTCTCTAGAGAACTGCAATAACTTAGTTTTTAAATGTTTTGTGAAATTTTAAGAAATTCTCATAAAAACTTATGTATTATTTTAAATATGTATATTAAAGAACTAATAACACTAGGTAACAACGATTTTGTTTAGGATATAAAACCTACATGGTTTTCTTTGTTTAGGACGTCTAAGTCCAGAAAAGGTATTTAAAAAATCTAGGACGCCAAATCTTTTGATTATTCATTAAGAAAAAAATTCTAAAAAAGGGTTAAATTCGGAAGAAAAAATTTAATATTTGTTTAGGATATAAAACCTACATGGTTTTCTTTGTTTAGGACGTCTAAGTCCAGAAAAGGTATTTCAAAAATCTAGGACGCCAAATCTTTTACTTATTCATTAAGAAAAAAATTCTAAGAAAGGGTTAAATTCGGAAGAAAAAATTTTATATTTATAGTTTTAGTTATTTTTTCATACGTTAGCAGAAAAATTTATTGTTTGACAATTGCTTGGCAATGAAATTGTATGGTTTTCTTACCCCATGTCTATGTATATAAGACAAATATTTATCACAGCACTTGACAAAACGTCGGCAGAAAAATTTTCAGTTTTTTGTTTATGTTAATGCGTAGGAGTAACAAAATGCTGATTTTATCACAACAACTTACAGATAATTTTACTGAAATAATGCTATATTTTATAAAAACAATTAAAATTAAATTCAAATTTTGTAAATAAACACTAATTTCACTAAAACATATGCTAAAAATCAATTTTAATAGCACAAAAACAAAATTCTAAACAAATTTGACAGTAAAATTACGTTTGTTATCAAGACAACGTTGTCTAAACAATTGTTAAGACAACACTGTCATAACGACGCTTTAACGCTAATAAATGCCGTCTGTACCTGCTAATTTATTATCATGATAACAATGTGACGTTTAGCGTAATAAACCGTAAACAACCGTCTAAACTGACAATTTATCTGTTGCTATTTATACCCTACACCACTTTAGTGGAGAGGGTATATTGGGTTTGTGCTGATGTTTGTAACGCACAATAATATTGGTCCTATACCCACATTAAAGTATACCAATCGGCTTAGAATCATTTTCTGAGTCGATTTAGCTATGTCCGTCCGTCTGTCTGTCCGTCCATGTAAACCTTGTAATCAAACTACAGGTCGCAATTTTGAAGATAATTCAATGAAATTTGGCACATGATCTTCTATTGTCCCAGAGACGAATCCTATTGAAAATGGTTAAGATCGGTCCATTATTTCACCTAGCCCCCATAAAACTAAACCCCGGAATAGGGCTTGTAAACCTTGTAATCAAACTACAGGTCGCAATTCTATGGTACCGGAGACAAAGCCTATTGAAAATGGTTAACATCGGTTCATTATTTCACCTAGCCCCCAACCAGACGAATAGGACTATTAAATTCATAATTATGTTTAATATACTCGTATCTCAACAAAAAGCTGCAAAACCAAGTGCTTTGACCATAGTACCTATACAAAGCCCCCTTCAAAATTGGACTTAAATGTCCACAATTTTATTCAACAATAAATAAGCCATTTAGTATATCTGAGGCAATGTACAATTCAACTACAATGCTTTATTATGAAAACAAAATCACATTTTCTTTTTGTAACAGGTGTAGGGTATTATATGGTCGGCCTCGCCCGACTATAATTTCTTACTTGTTTTCATTGTCAGTTCATTGCCAAAACTGTCAACGTTGTATGATCTGACATGTGTATACATATCATAAGTCTTAATGATAATGCCGATTTTCATAAGTATGTATTGGGCTTCATATAAATAAATAAATATATACACTGAGGATGGACCCATATTTGACCCTATCCCTAAATTTAAGAAAATCTGTTTTTCATCAATAAATCATATAATTCGGAATTAATTTAAAATTTGCTGTAGGATATAAAAACCTTTGACCTTTCAGTTTTAGTGCTTTGATTGTGTAAAAAATGAGAAAACATGATATAAAACTTACAATTCATTGAGCTTAACATTTCCCAGCCACTCGTCCATAGTTTCAATGAGACTAAAATGATGGTTTATACAAAAAAGAAAATTATATTTTAGGTAGAATATACATACATATGTAGATAGAACATTAAATATAAACATACGAACACATTCCATTTCATTTAATTTTAAAAATATTTAAAAAATTAATTTTTAATGAACACAATTTATTTATGTACATTAGGGTGGCCCCAATATGGAAGTTGCTGAAGTTCCCACCGAAAATGAAAATTTAGTTCATTCTAAGATACTATTTCTCAAAATTTTTGTCCGGATGTCAATATTTGGCGAGCTGGATCAAAGGATAAAAAGGTCCTTTTTTATGGTTTTTATGTATTTTTTTCATATTTCTGATTAAAGATTACTATGTGTGAATTTCAAAGAAGTATATTAAATTCATCTGTATTAAAATGTAGAAAATCTAAAAATTTTCCCAATATGTAATTTGAAAATTTCGATTAGTTTTGCTGTTACACAAAAGCGTCTCTCAAGGACCTTTCTTATGAAAATTTCATATTGTTCCTTTGAAAGAAATATGAGAAAAGTCATAAAAACCTCAAAAAAATTACCAATTTTGATAAAGCTCTTTGAGAAACGGTATCTTATAATCAATTAAATTTTAATTTTTGTTGGGAACATTGACACTTTATTTTTCCTCCAACCGTAAGATTGGAATCTTAAAAACTAAAAATTCATAAATAAAAAAACAACAAAAAAAATATTTTATTTAAAAATTGTGTTTTTCGCACACACACAAATCACAATTATATACAACAAAAAAGACAAACAATAATTTTGACAGTTTTGTTTTTGTTCTCTGATTTTTTTCTTTTTCGTACGCCAAAGTTGAATAACTTTCCATTTTTTACTTCGTACACAAGTTTTTGTATTAATTGTGACCGCTCATTTAAATACATACTGCTTCTGTCTCAATCCGTTTGTCCAGGTTCTTCAGAGGTCTGCTTCCTTTGCAATGTATTATACCACAGCGCTGCCTAGTGCCTTCGGGTTCGATTGGGTCTTTTAAGCTTCTGATGTAGTTCTTTACGAGGAGGCCGAAATACACTCCGACGAGATAAAAGCTTCGACTCTCGGTCGGCTAACGACTATATACGACTATGGATGCAATCCGATGAGATAAATTCTTTGGTTCTCGTCGGCTAACTATGACTAGCTAAGCAATACAATCCGACGAGATAAATGCTTCGGCTCTCGGTCGGCTAGCTAATATACAACCCGATGAGATAAATTTTTCGGCTTTTGTCGGATAACTATAATTATCTAAGTAATAGGTAGTAATAGATAGAGATAAATGCTTCGGCTCTCAGTCGGTTAACTACTATTAATAGTATAATATGAATATTATACAATCGGATGTGATAAAATGCTTCGGCTCTCAATCGTGTGACTGCTATTTAGAAATAGATACGGACTACAATCCGACGAGAAAAATGATTCCGCTCTCGGTCGGCTAACTACTATTAATGGGATCAGAGTTACCGTTGTGAGACTAAAGTCGCTATTTGACCCTTTTTCAAGTGCCTTGCCACTTTTTTGACCCCTTGACAAAATGAACTAAATTTGCGACTTATTTCTCTTCTTTCCCCTTTTTGAATAAACACATTTTGATATTTATATACCCACCATCAAAAAAGATGGCGATTCTTTTTGTCATTCCGTTTGTAACACATCGAAATATAGGTAATAGATCATATACCGGCGTATAGAGAGGCAGATAAAAAAATCACCACTACACACACACTATTGGCATTTTTTCAGTGAAATCGCACTGAAAAAAATATTTAGTTATTTTTAATTTTGAAGATTAAATTGCATTACTGTAAAATGGAAATATTTATAAACAAACTGTAATCAATGTACATAAGAATGATAATTTCTTCACATAGAAACAACATTTCAAATTAAAATTTACAAAAAAAAATATGAAACAAGATGAACTTATTTACTTTCATTGTTATGCATTCTAGAAAATTATTTAGGGTGTACGTTATTTTTGTAAATTATGCTCTTGTTTTTGCAAGTTGTTTTTGTTTTTATACCCTTCACCTTCGTGAGAAGGGTATATATAAGTTTGTCATTCCGTTTGTAATTTCTATAATATAAATTTCTGACCCTATAAAATATATATATATATTCTGGATCCTTATAGAAGCGGAGTTGATTTAGCTATGTCCGTCTGTCTGTCTGTCTGTGTGTATGTTGAAATCATTTTTCAGAAGACCCCAGATATTTGCGAGATCCAAATTTTCAATAGTTCTATCGGAAATACGATCGAATAGAACGCTATTTAAAATCAGCCCAATCAGTCCATAAATAACGAAGATATGAGTAAAAATCCGAGACCACCTCTGAAAATTTCATCAAAAATTTACTTTTCGTGCATGCTTATACAAAACAATAAACAAACAAAAACAAAACACAGTATCAAACGGTAAATTTTTTGTTATTGTGATTTCTTTTTTATAAACATAAAGCAAAGAAAGAACATCACGTACGTTGTTATTGGCTAGAAACATGAAATTAAGTATGTAGAGCCTGGATTAGGCGAGAACACATTAAAGGGTACTTTTTCGTTCTACAAAAGGTGCTTTTTGAATTTTCTATAATATTGAACCTAGAAATATGAAAATTAGCATGTAGGCCCTTAACAAGGTAAGAACCTATAAAAAGAGATTTTTTGGTACTTTTTCGTTCTACAGAAGGTACTTTTTGAATTTTCTCTAATATTGAACATAGAAACATAAAATTAAGTATGTAGAACTCGGATTAGGCGAGAACGCATAAAAGGGGACTTTTGGTACTTTTTCGTTCTACAAAAGGCATTTTTTGAAATTTCTATAATATTGAACCTAGAAATATGAAATCAAGCATGTAGAGCACGGATTAAGTTAGAACGTATGAAATGGGACTTTTTGGCACTTTTTCAGTCTTTAAAAGACCTTGCCGTTTTACAATTGGTATTTTTTGATTTTTTGTAATAAAATTCGTACTGACTGTTTTTTAACAAAGCGACATCAGCCTGCTTTGTTGAATGCTGTCAAGCAACTAAATAAAATATTTGTATTTTTGATGCTTTTGTTTAGAAGTTCGTCTGCGATCGTGTTGTGTACATGTAATTTGCCGGAAATCTCCGTTGTCAGACCAATACTAGCGCCGACGTCTGTCATAGATAAAAGTATATATGTATATTCTGGGACCTTATTGAATTCTAAGACGATCTAGCCATATCCGTCTGTCTGTTGAAATGATGATAGGGACCGAACGGAAAGAGCTAAAGGGTTGCAATTTTACACAAATATTTCTTATAGGTAAGGTTTGTATTTTCGCATACTGGCTTGAAAATTTCGTGTCAAGTGACCCAACTTTAAGAATCGATGCCTACCGATTTGGATGAAATTTGCTCCAAGGTTAGTACTATGGGAATAGTAGGCCGGCCACAAATTTTCGGCTCTATCGGTCAAGTACTGCCGGAGTCAGAGGGGGTCAAATTTGGACATTTTGGCCATACAGAGTTTTATTCAAATGAGTGTAACTTTTCACCTATTGGTACTAGCAAAAATTGTCCAAAGGAGTTCAGATTGCTATTTCTTCATTTAAAAAAATTATTTTTTTAAAAAATATTTTTAATTTTTTTTTCAAAATGGGCCTTTTTTTTGCTTAAAAGAAAGCTTATACAATTTCTTTAAAGATATCCATCAAAAAAATTATTTTTTAGCTCAAGAATAATTTTTTTCAAATGGACGTTTTTGTTGTATTTTTTTACTCATAAGAAAGCTTAGACCATTTCCTTTAAGAGCTTTGTGGTCACTTAGTGATAGTAAGGGACATACAGCTGTTGACAGAATAATAGCACCACTTTCTTAGTAAATTTGAAATTATTAAGAAAACGTATAATATTTAAAAGTGGTGTTTGTAGATTGGTTTAAAATATTGAGAAATGTGTTAAGAATATATAATAAAACAGAACCATATAAATTCATATTTCGTGCTTCTTGTGTTCAAATGTTAAATAAAAGTTGAAAATGTTTTAAAGAGTTCATCATTTGAGTCATTTTGTGTCAAAATGACTTTAAGTTCCACAGTGCTCCAAAAATCATAATTGTTGGTTCTCGATTGATATTTAATCGAAACTCTTTGGCAAGCCTCTCAATTACAGCGGCTCTATTGTCCAGAATCCAGTTTTTTACTTTTCTATGGGTGTTATGTGGCCTTTGTATTATTTCATGACCGAAATCGGTGGAATATCATCAGATACATTCGGCAATATAATTTGCATGCGGCTTTCAATATATTCCGATGCTTCCATGATAGATACTATATGGGTAATGGATGCTATATCATAGAACGGAAAGCGTCAAAATACCGTATTACTAAAACAGCCATATTTTGTGGTCTATTTGAATATTTTTGTAGTTTGGAAGACTTCTTATATAAGATCAAGAACCTTTTCTAAATGGGTTTTAACATACTCTAACATTGTTATTACATCCTTGTTTTGAAGAGTAGTACTTTTCTTGAACTGTAAACATTCTCATAGTCTCCTATACCCCATTTCTGTAACTTTTAGAAGTTCTCGCATCGAGAAGTTTGAACCAAAAAATCCCATCGTTTCTCGATTTGTGAGTAAAAAGTCTTTCTGTAACTTAAAGTGAGAAGAGGCTACACGAATTACGTTTTTATTGGAAATTTCCAATAAAACAGCTGTCAAAAGCATAAAAATTAAAAGAAGAAAACAAAAATTGCCGAACAAATTTATAAACGAAGAATAAATAAATATAGAAATGAAATGCGCCCTTGGCAAATTATAAGTTTACGTCCACGTACTTTTTAGCATTTGCTTCTGTAATTAAATTATTATAAACATAACATATATATATATATATAATATATAATAATATATATAATATAGTATATATATATTATATATAATAATATATATATATAATATAAGTATATATATAGTATGTTATGTTTAGAATTAATTAATTACAGAAG